TTGTGTTTATGGCCAGGCTGTGTTTTTTAGAGTAGGAAGGAGTGACAGTGTTTGGGGGATGAATGTGACAGGGTTTATGTGGTAGGTGATGCATGGTGAGGGAGTGAGTGTGACAGGGAGTGTGGCAGGTTGAAAGGGTATGAGTTTAGAATGGTGAGGGGTGGGTGTTACAGGGTTTGTGTGGCATGGTGAGTGTGACAAGGTTGGGGAGTGAGTGTGATGAGGTTTGGGGGTGTCAGTGACTGTGGCAGGATGACTGTTGGCGCGACAAGTGTGTTTGGTGGCTAAGTGTGTTTGTGGGAAGAGTGACAATTTGTAGGGAGGCTGTGTTAAAATACAGCCACCACACACTGAATTTTTTTTAATATAACATTTCCCCCCTCCTGCATTCCTCCTGGCCATGACTGGGGTACAACATATTGATTCCTTTGTGGTCCGTGGATCCCCTGATGGTCCAGCTGACTCTCATGCAGCTGCAGGCTGGGAATCCCGGGAACTTGCGTTCTGACTACCTCACATAGCGCCCGAATAGTGAGGAACCAAAGAACACAAGGGAGTCCATATTAAAGGGCCTTGCAGGGCCTTTGATCTCCATGCCAGCTTGAGAGAGGTCTGTACTGAGGTGAGTTCTGATGTGTCGCACCTTGTTCTGATGTGGCGCCCACTTTAAGTTCCTGCCGCACCCTAGGTACACCGTTGCTGCAGACAGTGTCACTTAAACCGTAAGTCACAAAATAAAAGCACAGTACTAATAATTATAGAAATCTGATTGCAGTATAGAATCTCACAGCAATATTCATAACTGAATACATTGTAGAAACTCATTAACTAAACTCAGAGCGTTATTTACTGCAGTTTTCTGTTGAGTTTTAAAGGGCATTTCAGTTCTTCATCTCAGCTATTGTTTTACAGCACAATAGGGTCTAATTTGCAAAGTAAAATGTGATGGATGGTGGAACAGTAGGATGTTAGAAAGAAAAAGAAGGTTTTGCGATTTACCGACAGATCCAGGCAAGTTAACAAAAGCATTGTTTGACAGCAGCCTGTCAGAGGAAGGAGGTGATAATGACACTGTTCAGTGAGATGGCTGGGCAAGGTACCCATCACTGAGAATCAGGAGATTAGCTATGCAGTGAATACTGATGCATACAACACAATGGAAGATTTGGGGTCTATTTATAAAACCATAAGATGCGGTCAGTTAATAACCAACATGTAAAATGGGACCCAGCAGCCAAGCTGTGCAACACTTCCTGTTCAATGATTTATTTATTTTTTTCAACTTTATTCTTTTGGCCTTCATTTTGCAAATTTGTTTAGCAAAATTCCTGAGGATAGTTGAATCTCCCTGCTCTATGCTCTAAACAGACAATTTTATGTTTCTAACTAAACAAATGTAAGTAATAGGGTATAGGAATGTTTTAGCTGTGGTATTGAAAGAAAACTATCTCACGGTTGCCGTCCACATCAGTTTTATTAATTCTTTCAAGAGCAGGGGCTAAGAGCAGTCAGCTGACAATCAATATCTCCCAATTCATACAAACATCTTGCAAAAGGCACGTACCTTTCTTAAGCCATTTTGTATGATTGAAGAGCTACTGATTGCCTTAGAGCATCAACTGCACACTCTATGCAAATCGGTGGAGCCCCTGCCAGGCGGCAGTCTGAGACTTTTCTGAAAGTGGATGTAAACGACGACAGAGAGAATTGGTGCTACAGAGCAGATTTTGGAGTGGTTTTACCTCTAAAATTAAGAAAGTACCAGGAATCTCCTGGCACCACGACAGTTTAATTTAAATTAAGTTGTTATGATGGCGAGTGTGTTCTTCTCATATGTAGTTTATTTTGGATCTGTCACCATAGAAATCCCTCGACTGAAAGCTGAGGGATCCATGCATCTGTGCACCGGGAGGCCCAACCATTCTCGGACCAGCAAGTTGCTCCGAGTCTTCTATCTAGGTGCTGCCATCCTCATGTATCTAAGATGATGGCAACTGGACACAGAATACTCTGCCCATAGCTGGGCATGCACGATCTGAGAGGAGCAGTAACTGAGAGGAGCAGTGACGTGCAGCTACAGGACATGACGCAGTGCTATAGGGAGGTAAGTCATTGACAAAGCTGACAAAATCAGTGGAACTTGACTAAAACAAGTTATACATATAGTCAATATTTTTCCTTATATATATATAACTTTAACATTAAGCATATTTCAGAACAAAAGGAGGGTAACCAAGGGGGAGGGAGGGTTTGGAGATGCTGACATTAAAATAAAACATTTATTCCTGGCCCTATAGTGTTAAAACCACCATTTAGGTGGCTTGCCCAACCTTAAACCCCTTAAAAGGTAATAAAACATACCTAATTTCCAGCACCATACAGGTCTGCCGGCACTGGCCCCGCTCCACCCCGCATTCTTTCTGACATCATCAGAAATTATGATTTAAGCAATCTAATACTACTACAATAGTGAAATTGGCAAGGAAGTGGGACAGGGGTGGGACTAAATGCCGGCTTGGCCAATCAGCACCTCTTCATAGAGATACATTGAATCAATGCGTTTTTATGAGAAAAGTTCAGCGTCTCCACGCTGAGCTGCCCTAGTAAGCACCTCTAGTACCTCCACTGTCCACTTCTCCAGATCTGTGGAGTGGCCAGTGGAGGTGTCCCTAGGGGGGCAATGTAAACACTGCCATGTCTATGAAAAGGCAGTTTTACATAAAAATGCCTGCAAGGAATGGTTATACTCACCAGAACAAATACAATCATCTGTAGTTGTTCTGGTGACTATAGTGTCCCTTTAAGTTACACACTAGGCTGTAGATGCCACATCCCTATGTTTTTATAAACACCTTTTACTTTTTATAATAATAATAATGGTAATAATAAAATACAAGAAATAGAAAACAGAAGAATATAAATGCACACATTTATAAACTAAGTAATCAACTATTTAAAAGCTGTGATTTAAATATAGACCAATATAGATGCAGCCAATTTACTGTATGTTCCCAAATAGTACAACAAAACAGGGTGCAGAGATAACTGATATGCCTTACTGCATTTTAAATATTCCAAAACAATGTGAATTTGTTTCACCTCTTATATAGATATTGGAATACTTTATTTAATTATGTCCAGCATCCAATGAACATATGGAACAAATAGAATAATATATAATATATAATCTGCTGTAGTAGTTTTTGTACATATTTGGCAACACTGCGCCAGTCAGCCTTCAGTCCAGATACAGTTTTTTTTTTTTTGTTTTGTTTTTATTTTTGCTGTGCATATCAACATGTTCAAAATTGCAATACCATTTCAATAAATTCAATGGTTAAACATGATATGGCTAAGGTATTGGCTGCACAATATGTTGAAAAATAACATTGGGTTGGTCCTATAGGCGTGTGTCAGTGGTACTATACTACTCACGTTGCCTTTGTATCAGTCGAGCCATTATCTGTTTAACTAGGTGGCTGATGTGAGTAGGGCCTGTCCTGTGCCGGTACCAGTCTTGGTTATGTCTAAGGAACACTGCTGTTTTTATGTGTGGGTTATCCTCAGGTCAGTATGACAAGGTGGTTACAGCGGTCTGACTTCTTTCTGTGTCTCTTGACCTATCTGCTGGTCCCCTAACCTATGGGCTGACGGGGGGAGGGGGGGGAGGGGAAATGTAGGATAAGTATGGTCTTCCTCGGTTTAGCAGCACACTAAACGGGTTATGAGGTTGTACAGTGAAGGGGACGTGGGGCTCCCGGGTAAGGGAATCGTGTGTGCTCCTCTAAGCTCAGTCCAGTGTAGCCTATTAGGATTCGGGTACATATCCGGTGCTAACCATCTGTGCACCGTAGGTAAAATTGCAATGCCTCCTTCACTATAGGAAGAATGGGAGTGGTGTGGTGAGGCGTCATGTAAATCTACAAGAAGTTCTAACCAAAATTGCGTTATGGAAGATAGAAGTGCAATCGTTGATAACCCTTAAAACATTAAAGGCAACATCGGTGTGTAACCAGTAGAGTGTGGAACATCACAATAATCAGTTTAGAGTCCCGGTCAAACATAAATCAAATATTATAAGGAGAAAAGAGAATTAAAAAAAATAAAAAATTTAAACAGCAACTTAGGAGGCCGGGGTGCGTGTCAGCGATCAGGTGTCCGTGAGCTTGAAGTCCCGTTCCAACATATAACAGGTATTAACCGCCAGAGTCCCAACTTTTGCGCTGGCTAGCGTGGCCCGAAATTATAAGGAGAAAAAATTTAAACAACAACTTAAAAGGTCGGAGTACATGTCAGCAATCAAGTGTCAGTGTCCTGTCTGTTCCTGGGTTTGAAGGGGGTGATGTTACTCACGTCCCAATCAGTAGTGGTGGACAGGTTAGCTTGCGTTGCTGGTATTTCCAGAGCCCTTAGGAAAGCTGCACAGTCCGATGGGCTTGAGGCCTTGTAGTGTGTCCCGTTTTTGATCACCGTGATAGCTCTGGGATAGGACCATCGGTATGCCAGTCCTGCATCTTGAAGGGCTTTGGTGATTGGTTGCATGGATTTTCTCCATAGTAGCGTGGCTCTGCAGAGGTCCTGGAAAAAGGTGAGTGAATATGATTCAAATTGCAGTGGCGTTTTTCCCCTCAGGGCTCTGAAGATCTTTTGTTTGTCTGCATAGGACTGACAGCATAATATGATGTCTCGAGTTGAGGTGGTGGGCGCTTGGGGAGATTTGGCGATGCGGGAAAATCCTTCAAAGGAGAATTGCTTGGTTGATTGCGTCGGTAGAAGGAAGGCGATCAGGCGCCGGACAAAGTGTGGAAGTTCCTCCGGGGGAAGTGTGTCCGCAACTCCCCTTATCTTGATATTTTTACTCCTACTTCTGTCCTCTAACTGCTCCATTCTGCTCGACAGGTGTGTGTAAAAGGAGCTGAGGTGTTGGATGGTGTCCCCCAGGTTGTCCAGATCCTGGTTCAGTGAGGTTATGCCTGCCTCTGAGGTGTGGAGCCTGCTGGTCACCTGCTGTATCTCACTGCAGCAATATCTGTTGTGAAGAGTTTCTGCATGTGTAGGTTATATATGTCCCCCTTTGTGGACGGAGTGTCACTGTCCTTCAACAGCAGGGACCCTAGGTCTGGGATGGAGTCCTCCATTAGAGTGTGTTGGGCCGCAGGCCCCTGGGGCGCTGCGTCTTTTGTGCGCGGCGCCGTGGTGAGCATTTGCCCGATGTCTTGGCCTTCTCTGCCTGCCAGTTGACTTAGCCTTGGATTTTTCCGACCCATTGTGTCGTCGGAGGATGCACCGATTATGTGCTTGGCGAATAAATCAAGGGTTGCCTCGAAGCTGCCGTCTCGAGTGAGCCGTCGGCCTCCCGCGTGGTAGGCCCGAGATCCTCGGCACCGGGTATCAGAGGTCGCCGGGAACAAAAAGGGCATCAGCGTGTTCGGTGAGTCCTCCCGGGTATAGATCCGGGGTTTTTGTGCGTGTGTCGCGGGTTTCTCTTGTTAGAATTGAGGGTTTTGTCGATTAATTGTTCGGAGCCGTGCTGAGTAGCGTCTGTCTCCGTGTGCTGCTTAGCTCCGCCCCCCAGATACAGTTTTTTAACCCCTTAAGACCGGAGGGCATACTATTACGCCCTATTTTAGGCGGCTCTAAATGCCGCCAGGCATAATAGTACGCCCTCCGGTCTTTCTTTACTTACCCAGACGCCGGCGGTCCCCCCCGCAGCAGATCTTCTTCCTGGCAGCCCCCCCGGCCATGTGAGAGTGAGGTCCTTGCGAGTACCTCACAATCACATGGCCGGGATAGCTGGCTGCAGCATTGCCAGCAGGGGGCTGCCTTTTTAAAAAGTGTAAAAAATAAATAAATATATACTTAGATCACATATACATACACACACATACACTGTCTAGGTGTATTTTACTATTAATATATATATAATTATATATATATATTAATATCAAATTACACGTAGACTGATACTGATTAAATATATATATAATTACTGTTATATATATATATTTATATATAATATAAAAAAATTAAATATGTAAATACATTAAAAAATAAAATTAAAAAAATAATTAAAAATAAATAATTAAAAAATATATAGATGTGTGTTATTTCGTTATATATTCGATATATATTTATATCAAAATACATGTAGAACGAAATAATATATATATCTATATACATAAATATATACGTATATATCACTATATATATACCTATATATAAATACAAATACAAATATTTTTTAAAAATTATATATATATACATATATATTCACATACGTATATATATACATATTCTTATTCTACATATATATTCATGTAATATTTTTACATAATTAGGTATCTTAATTAATTACAATTAGCGGGACCTGCCAGACAACCCATGCCGAAAGTAAAGGGAAATTAATTTGCTAGCACTATATTTAACCCTATAACTTTCCAAGACACCATAAAACCTGTACATGGGGGGTACTGTTCTACCAGAGAGACTTCGGTGAACACAAATATTAGTGTTTCAAAACAGTAAAATGTATTACAACGATGATATCGCCAGTAAAAGTGATGGTTTTTGCATTTTTCACGCACAAAAAGCAATTACACGGACGATATTATTGCTGCGATACTTTTTACTGTTTTGAAACACAAATATTTGTGTTCAGCGAAGTCTCCCGAGTACAACAGTACCCCTCATGTACAGGTTTTATGGTGTTTTTAAAAGTTACAGCGTCAAATAAAAGGCTTGTGTTTCATTTTTTTCACATTAAAATTCACCAGATTGGTTAGGTTGCCTTTGAGACCCTATGGTAGCCCAAGAATGAAAATTACCCCTATGATGGCATACCATTTGCAAAAGAAGACAACCGAAGGTATTGCAAACGGGGTATGTCCAGTCTTTTTTAGTAGCCACTTAGTCACAAACACTGGCCAAAATTGGCGTTTTATGCATTTTTCACACACAAACAAATACTAACGCTAACTTTGGCCATTGTGTGTGACCAAATGGCTACTAAGAAAGACTGGACATACCCCATTTGCAATACCTTGGGTTGTCTACTATTGCAAATGGTATGCCATTTTGGGAGTAAATTTCATTCCTGGGCTACTATAAAGTCCCAAAGGCAACGTAACCAATCTGGCATATTTCAAATGTAACGTGCTATATTTGACCCTGTAACTTCCCAAAACGCCCTAAAACCTGTACATAGGGGGTACTGTTTTACACGTGAGACTTTGCTGAATACAAATATGTGTATTTTATTGCAGTAAAAGCAAACAGTATTATGACATTGACAGTTAAAATGTCATGTAGAACTAAAAAAATTAAAAAAAATTTTATTTTCTCCCATTTTTTTCATATTAAATTATATTTCATAGCTAAATATTTGATATTAAATGAAAGCCCTGTTTCCCCTAAATAAAATGATATATTATAAGGGTGGGTGCATTTAATATGAAAGAGGTGAATTACGGTTGGACAGACATGTAGCGCAAATGCCAGGTTTTGTTTACATTTTGTTTCATTCACAACGTGTACGTTTGGCTCCGTCCTTAAGGGGTTAAAGGCCATGTTACCTCCACTCTCCACATGGATTGTTCAGTTTAATGCACCTTTCCAGGAAGCTACCAGATGGCCAGTCTTTTGGGCAACAAAGATAATAGCAGCTCATTCGATGCGTTTTATATGAATACGAATGCTGTGTGGACATTTTTTTTTTTTTTTAAGAGTGCATAAAAACCAAATATTCAGGAAAACCAGAATAAAATTGACGTGTTTTTTTTATAACTCTGAATTGTTCTTGCTGTGCCAACTGCTTCTCCTCTTCTGCGATCATTTTATTACTTATGATTTTAGTGCAATGCAATTCTTTTCATAGAGAAGTATCGTGGCTCTACAGGACAAGACCAACAATTGTCGATCTACGCCAATCAGATGCTTCTCTAATAGAATAACAATATCTAAGACTTTCAAAAACTGAAATTGAGGTAGTGCATCTAATCGCTTTCTGACTGACAGCCACTAGAGGCATTTTGATGGACAAATGTAAACATTGCTGTATCTCATAATGTTTGCATTTGTCAGAGAGCAGGGACAGAGTCTTTGCATCAAAAACATTACATTAATATGTAGTGCTTTTGGTGCTTAGAGTGTATCTTTAATTTGTTATACACTGGTTTGCAGTGCTTTGGTAGTTTTTTGCTACTCATTAATGCTTAGGTATACAGAAAATTCTGAAAACGCTGACATTTCCAACATAAATAGAATTCTAGTGGTTCAATAAACTTAAAACCCCTTACAATGAAAACGATACATAATATGGTTGACTACATGTGATCATATTTTTAACCCATTAAGGACACAGGACGTGTGTGACATGTCATGATTCCCTTTTATTACAGAAGTTTGGTCCTTGAGGGGGTAAACTAACTTTTTATCATTACACATTTCATACATTTAATGAAAAATAATGAAAGTAATAGTATAAAATAACATTGTTAAATGATGAAGAGGTCCGTAATTCATGTCATACAGTAGCCTGTTTAACATCTGAGTTACAGCATGTCCACACCTAGGTAACTATACATGCAAATCCACCTGTTACAAAATTTGGTGAGTGAAATATCAGGGACAGCATTCGCCGAGCTTAGCTATCAAATACACATTAAAGGGACACTATAGTCACCTGAACAACTTTAGCCTAATTAAGCAGTTTTGGTGTATAGAACATGCCCCTGCAGCCTCACTGCTCAATCCTCTGCCATTTTAGGAGTTAAATCCCTTTGTTTATGAACCCTAGTTACACCTTCCTGCATGTGACTTGCACAGCCTTCCATAAACACTTCCTGTAAAGAGAGCCATATATAGGCTTTCTTTATTGCAAGTTCTGTTTAATTTAGATTTTCTTATCCCCTGCTATGTTAATAGCTTGCTAGACCCTGCAAGAGCCTCCTGTATGTGATTAAAGTTCAATTTAGAGATTGAGATACAATTATTTAACCCCTTAAGGACGGAGCCAAATGTACACTTTGTGAACAAAACAAAATGTAAACAAAACCTGGCATTTGCGCTACATGTCTGTCCAACCGTAATTCACCTCTTTCATAGTAAATGCACCCACCCTTATTATATATCATTTTATTCAGGGTAAACAGGGCTTTCATTTAATATCAAATATTTAGCTATGAAACATAATTTAATATGAAAAAAATGGGAGAAAATAAGATTTTGTTTAATTTTTTTAGTTCTACATGACATTTTAACTGTCAATGTCATAATACTGTTTGCTTTAACTGCAATAAAATAAACATTTTTGTATTCAGCAAAGTCTCACGTGTAAAACAGTACCCCCTATGTACAGGTTTTATGGCGTTTTGGGAAGTTACAGGGTCAAATATAACACGTTACATTTGAAATTGAAATTCGCCAGATTGGTTAAGTTGCCTTTGGGACTTTATAGTAGCCCAGAAATGAAATTTACAGCCACAATGGCATACCATTTGCAATAGTAGACAACCCAAGATATTGCAAATGGGGTATGTCCAATCTTTTTTAGTAGCCATTTGGTCACAAACACTGGCCAAAGCTAGCGTTAGTATTTGTTTGTGTGAAAAATGAAAAAACGCCAATTTTGGCTAGTGTTTGTGACTAAGTGGCTACTAAAAAAGACTGGACATACCCCGCTTACAATACCTTGGGTTGTCTACTATTGCAAATGGTATGCCATCATAGGGGTAATTTTCATTCTTGGGCTACCATAGGGTCTCAAAGGCACCGTAACCAATCTGGCGAATTTTAATGTGAAAAAAATGAAACGCAAGCCTTATATTTGACGCTGTAAATTTTGAAAACACCATAAAACCTGTACATGAGGGGCACTGTTGTACTCGGAAGACTTCGCTGAACACAAATATTTGTGTTTCAAAACAGCAAAAAGTATCGCAGCAATAATATCGTCCGTGTAAGTGCTGTTTGTGCATGAAAAATGCAAAAAACTGCACTTTTACTGGCGATATCATCGTTGTAATACATTTGACTGTTTTGAAACACTAATATTTGTGTTCAGCGAAGTCTCCTGAGTAGAACAGTACCCCCCATGTACAGGTTTTATGGTGTCTTGGAAAGTTATAGGGTTAAATATAGTGCTAGCAAATTAAATTCCCTTTACTTTCGGCATGGGTTGTCAGGCAGGTCCCGCTAATTGTAATTAATTAAGATACCTAATTACGTAAAAATATTACATAAATATATATGTAGAATTAATATATGTATATATATATATATATATATACGTATGTGAATCTATATGTGTATATATATATAATTTTTTTAAAATATTTTTATTTATATATAGATATATATATAGTGATATATATGTATATATTTATGTATGTAGATATATATATTATTTCGTTCTACGTGTATT